GGGGGGTATTCTGTATCATAAGGTAGGTTGGGGGGTATTCTGTATCATAAGGTAGGTTGGAGGGTATTCTGTATCATAAGGTAGGTTTGGAGGTATTATATATCATAAAGTAGGTTGTGGGTGTATTCTGTATCATAAGGTAGGTTGGGGGGTATTCTGTATCATCAGGTAGGTAGCAAAATTATTTGTTTTTTTTGTGGTAAGATGTAGAAATGTATTGAATTTCAGTTTCATATTGACATTGTTATTTCATACTTGACATTGAGTTTTCACATTGTTATTTCGTACTTGACATTGAGTTTTCACATTGTTATTTCATACTTGACATTGATGTTTCACATCGTTATTTCATACTTGACATTGATGTTTCACATCGTTATTTTGCCATTTCGTATCGACATTAGAGTTTCATACTGACATTGCTGTTTCAGATCCACTTTGCTGTTTTATATGAGAGAAAACTGGGAGTCGCTGATTCCACTTTTATCTCACACTGATCTCACCGTTACCATGACAACTCTCAAGATTCTGGAGATTGTCTGCCTGACCAGACCAATGTCCAGTGTATCAGCCATCAGGGTATCCTCAGCCCTCATTATTGTGTTCTTCAAGTCACTCGAGTTGACAGGTTAGTCTCACCATGAAGTTGTAATTAGTTAGTTATGCAACCATGAATCCCAGTGGTCAGCATGTTATCAGTTGATCTTCTGCACTATAGCTGTCCACCAGTCCATGTAATCATTATCAGTATAAATATCTCTCTGCCTTATAGGTGTCTGTCAGTCTCTGTGATGAGTATAAATATCTCTGCCTTATAGGTGTCTGTGAGTCTCTGTGATTAGGATATACATCTCTCTGCCTTATAGGTGTGTGTCAGTCTCTGTGATTAGTATAAATATATCTCTGCCTTATAGGTGTCTGTGAGTCTCTGTGATTAGGATATACATCTCTCTGCCTTATAGGTGTCTGTCAGTATCTGTGATTAGTATAAATATCTCTGACTTATAGGTGTCTGTCAATCTCTGTGATTATTATAAGTATATCTCTGCCTTATAGGTGTCTGTCAGTCTCTGTGATTAGTATAAATATCTCTGCCTTATAGGTGTCTGTCAATCTCTGTGATTAGTATAAATATCTCTCTGCCTTATAGATGTCTGTCACTCTCTGTGATTAGTATAAGTATATCTCTGCCTTATAGGTGTCTGTCAGTCTCTGTGATTAGGATATACATCTCTCTGCCTTATAGGTGTCTGTCAGTCTCTGTGATTAGTATAAATATATCTCTGCCTTATAGGTGTCTGTCAGTCTCTGTGATTAGGATATACATCTATCTGCCTTATAGGTGTCTGTCAGTCTCTGTGATTAGGATATACATCTATCTGCCTTATAGGTGTCTGTCAGTCTCTGTGATTAGGATATACATCTATCTGCCTTATAGGTGTCTGTCAGTCTCTGTGATTAGGATATACATCTATCTGCCTTATAGGTGTCTGTCAGTCTCTGTGATTAGTATAAATATATCTCTGCCTTATAGGTGTCTGTCAGTCTCTGTGATTAGTATAAGTATATCTCTGCCTTATATGTGTTTGTCAGTCTCTGTGATTAGTATATATATATCTTTGCCTTATAGGTGTCTGTCAGTCTCTGTGATTAGTATAAATATCTCTCTGCCTTATATGTGTTTGTCAGTCTCTGTGATTAGTATAAATATCTCTCTGCCTTATAGGTGTCTGTCACTCTCTGTGATTAGTATAAATATATCTCTGCCTTATAGGTGTCTGTCACTCTCTGTTATTAGTATGTATATCTCTCTGCCTTATAGGTGTCTGTCAGTCTCTGTGATTAGTATAAATATCTCTCTGCCTTATATGTGTCTGTCAGTCTCTGTGATTAGTATATATATATATCTGCCTTATAGGTGTCTGTCAGTCTCTGTGATTAGGATAAATATCTCTCTGCCTTATAGGTGTCTGTCCCTCTCTGTTATTAGTATGTATATCTCTCTGCCTTATAGGTGTCTGTCCCTCTCTGTGATTAGTATAAATATATCTCTGCCTTATAGGTGTCTGTCAGTCTCTGTGATTAGTATATATATATCTCTGCCTTATACATGTTTGTCAGTCTCTGTGATTAGTATAAGTATATTTCTGCCTTATAGATGTCTGTCACTCTCTGTGATTAGTATAAGTATATCTCTGCCTTATAGGTGTCTGTCAGTCTCTGTGATTAGTATAAATATATCTCTGCCTTATAGGTGTCTGTCACTCTCTGTGATTAGTATAAATATCTCTCTGCCTTATAGGTGTCTGTCAGTCTCTGTGATTAGTATAGTATTCAACCTACAGAATTACAACAATTATCGCTATTTTTACTGATGTATGCTGATGACATGGTTTTATTTTCAGAAAGTGCAGAAGGCCTACAGGCAATGTTAAATACTCTGTCTGATTACACTGACAGGTGGAGTCAATCAGTTGATATTGATAAAACTGAAGTACTTGTATTTAGAAAATCAGGAAAAAAAAATTGTAATGAGAATTGGATTCACAAGGGTAAATTATTGAAGTTGTTGGTGAGTTCTGTTACCTTGGTATCATTCTGAAATATAATTGCAACTTCAATTAAGCGCAGAAACAATTAGCAGCTAAATGCCGTAAAGCAGTATTCAGTCTTAAGAAAATCATGTATAGACATGCAATTAAATTTTAAAACTTACTTGTCACTTTTTGATACATATGTTGGTAGTATTGCTAACTATGCATGTGAAGTGTGGGGTATGCATAAAGCTAAAAAAAATCGAAACAGTGCATCTTGATTTTTAGATTTTAGATTTTTAGACACCTATTTATACTTCGTTCGTCGTCGTCCGTCGTCCGTTAACATTTTACATTTTCAACTTAAGCTGAAATACGGGCAAAGGGATTTCATTAATATTTCATGGGAGGGTTACTGACATATCCCTGACCAAGTGTTGTTATTTTTCGGGTCCATCAGAAATCCAATATGGCCGCCATTTTGAAAAACTATTTCAAACTTAAGGTCAAGTTCTGCTGAGCCGATTGAACTGAAACCTAGTAGGAAAGATCGACTCATGGTCCTGACAAAGTGTTGTTATTTTTCGGGTCATTCAGAAATCCAATATGGCCGCCACGGCCGCCATTTTGAAAAACTATTTCAAACTTAAAGTCAAGTTCTGCTTGGCCGATTGATCTGAAACTTGGTAGGAATGATCAACTCATGGTCCTGACAAAGTGTTGTTATTTTTCGGGTCATTCAGAAATCCAATATGGCCGCCACGGCCGCCATTTTGAAAAACTATTTCAAACTTAAAGTCAAGTTCTGCTTGGCCGATTGATCTGAAACTTGGTAGGAATGATCAACTCATGGTCCTGACAAAGTGTTGTTATTTTTCGGGTCATTCAGAAATCCAATATGGCCGCCACGGCCGCCATTTTGAAAAACTATTTCAAACTTAAAATCACGTTCTGCTAGGCCGATTGAACTGAACTTTGTAGGAATGATCGACTCATGGTCCTGACAAAGATTTGTTATTTTTCGTGTCGATCAGAAATATAATTTGGCTGCCATGGCCGCTATTTTGAAAATACCAATTTCAAACTTAAAAACAAGTTCTAATAGGCCGATCTAACTGAAAATCGGTCTAGGAATGATCAGCTCATGGTCCTGACAAAGTTAAGTTAACGTTATGCTTAACTATTTTGTACTCAAATTGGTACATATTTTAACAACAAAAATAAATACTGTAGGACTCAGGTGACCGTTAAGGCCCATTGGCCTCTTGTTGTAAGAATAGACTCGGTGTAAAGAGGTCAACACCCAGTGCTATGGTGTATTGTGAACTTAATAGATACTCTTTTTCTGTGATCAGGAAGTTAAGGATCTTCAAATACTGGTGTAAGTTGACCAGGTCAAGTGTTGAGTTATTTAGGGGTCAAATTTCATATGTGCTATTTCAAGATAATGACTTCAAAAAAACTTCTTCTAAAGTTCTACAAGGTCTAGAGTCCTACTATTTGATACATAACATGGTCAGGTGATTGACTATCAAGTTTGAAAAAATGATTGACCTTGAATGACTTTCAAGGTCACAGAGGTTATATATGTAAAAATATTGAAACCACTTTGTCTGAATAACCAATAATTCCAGGGTAACGATGTTTGGCAAGAGGCATGCTTAAATGAAGGGCTTTAAAGTGTGTGCAAATGAATGACAATGACCTACTCTAAATTTAATTTCAAAAGTGAAAGTCAAAATCCGTTTTCATTTTTTGTGCGATTGTGAAGTGCTCTCAGTACTCTCAGTACATTGTACTTTGATTTATATCAAAACATCTAATACACGCTGGTAATACTACATCGATTACTACGCACTCTCAATCTTAAAAGTAGGGACAGTTTACATCTCTTCTGCAGTGGGTAAACATCAGCCTTTCTTTCACATGGCAAACCCAAATGATATAGACAAAAAGCTATTTCAATTCATCATCCTGACGTACATAGTGGACCGACTATAGGACTTTTACGGACTACATTCCTATACAACACCGCCCATTGGCTGCCTATATTTATCAATTCTTTCTCAGCCGACGTCATTTCGCACTCCAGGATTCCACCACTCAGTCAGCTACTGTAGACTTGCACAAGTTATTATTAGAAGGCCAATTCAGTTCTGACAGTGAAAAAGCCCGTCACATTGTTAGCCAACAATTTCTAGTTATCTGTGTTATGTGTGTCCACCAGTCCCTATGGTTATAAGTATAATCGATATCAGTCCTTGTGCCATTGTGGTCAGTTAAGTACCAGTCCCTATGGTCAGTATAAGTATCTGTGTTGTGACCTGTCCACCAGTCTCTATGGTTAATATAATTATCTCTGTTGTGACCTGTCCACCAGCCTCTATGGTCAATATAATTATCTGTGTTGTTACCTGTCCACCAGTCTCTATTGTTAATATAATTATCTGTGTTGTGACCTGTCCACCAGTCTCTATGGTCAGTACAAGTATACCCTCTTTGTTACAGATCCCCATGAAGCCCAGCTGTCAGTACGTGTGTGTAAGCAGTGTCTCCACCAGCTCTGTCATCACAGCTTTACCCAGTGTATCCTGTTACGCTTCCTACTGGAAGGACTCACTAACAGAGTAAGACTGATGACATCATACCAAACAGTATAACATCATTGAGGGAGTGTGGGTGGGGATTAAAACGGATAAACATGAGGGTTTGAAATCTAACAATAATCTCCCTTGTGTGTGGTTGTAGGATACCTCCTTCCTGTTTGGTGCTAAGAGGAGGACCAGTGACCAGACACAGCACAGGGATCAGCATCCAAAAGTGTCATTACTGGAGGAAAATAGCAAACTGGGAACAACACTGACACTGCCACGGTCACAGTCAAGTGTGTTCCATGCCGGAATTATTGGTAGTGGACTAAGGTCAAGGTCATCAGGTACAGGTTTACTTCAGGTGAGTACAAGGTTAACAAAATTCATTGTCAGGTGAAGTATAATATTAATGACCCACATTGTCAGGTGAAGTATAATATTAATGACCCTCATTGTCAGGTGAAGTATAATATTAATGACCCCCATTGTCAGGTGAAGTATAATATTAATGCCCCACATTGTCAGGTGAAGTATAATATTAATGACCCTCATTGTCAGGTGAAGTATAATATTAATGACCCACTTTGTCAGGTGAAGTATAATATTAATGACCCACATGGTCAGGTGAAGTATAATATTAATGACCCACATTGTCAGGTGAAGTATAATATTAATGAACCACATTGTCAGGTGTAGTATAATATTAATGACCCACATTGACCCACATTGTCAGGTGTAGTATAATATTAATGACCCACATTGACCCACATTGTCAGGCGTAGTATAATATTAATGACCCACATTGTCAGGTGAAGGATAATATTAATGAACCACATTGTCAGGTGAAGTATAATATAAATGAACCACATTGTCAGGGGAAGTATAATATTAATGAACCACATTGTCAGGTGAAGTATAATATTAATGAACCACATTGTCAGGAGAAGTATAATATTAATGAACCACATTGTCAGGTGTAGTATAATATTAATGACCCACATTGTCAGGTGAAGTATAATATAAATGACCCACATTGTCAGGTGTAGGAGGTGTTGAGGTTTGTCATCAGACACAACATACTTATATTGTTTTAATTGACAAGAAGCTTTAAGATTTGTGTTATTATCAGACTCTTCACACCTGTACTATTTTGATTGACAGGAACATGTAAAACGTAACAAGAGGTGTCTCCTTGATATTTTACACACCTGCTCCAGGCAGAATTTCCATCACAATGTAGATGTTGCTATGGAAACTGATGCTGTCCACTCAGTTCCACTTCGTGCTAAAGTCCGCCCTCTGACCTTGTCTGGTGACCTTTGTCGTATGATTGGCAGTCTGGTCACAGAATTGACCACACCAGATGTATTATATAACAACCGGTTCTGGCCTGAGGAGGACTCCCTACGTTTTACTGTGGAAAGGTAAGCAAGTATTACTGTATACAGGGAAATATTCACCGCTGTTTAACTTTTGCTATTTTCGCCCTCCTTAATGATGACGAATTTATCACGACAGCGAATACTAAAACACAATAAACAATCTAGTTTAAGTATATGTGAAGGGTAAAAGTAATACTGGGCGAGTATAGATTAGCACAGTAAAAGGCAAATATTTGACTGGGCAAAAGTTTCCTGGTATTTCACGGTGGAATGATTATCTATTGTGCTATCACTACTTTACTGTAGAATAGTTCTCTGTTTCACGGTGGAATGATTATCTATTGTGCTATCACTACTTTACTGTAGAATAGTTCTCTGTTTCACGGTGGAATGATTATCTATTGTGCTATCACTACTTTACTGTAGAATAGTTCTCTGTTTCACGGTGGAATGATTATCTATTGTGCTATCACTACTTTACTGTAGAATAGTTCTCTGTTTCACGGTGGAATGATTATCTATTGTGCTATCACTACTTTACTGTAGAATAGTTCTCTGTTTCACGGTGGAATGATTATCTATTGTGCTATCACTACTTTACTGTAGAATAGTTCTCTGTTTCACGGTGGAATGATTATCTATTGTGCTATCACTACTTTACTGTAGAATAGTTCTCTGTTTCACGGTGGAATGATTATCTATTGTGCTATCACTACTTTACTGTAGAATAGTTCTCTGTTTCACGGTGGAATGATTATCTATTGTGCTATCACTACTTTACTGTAGAATAGTTCTCTGTTTCACGGTGGAATGATTATCTATTGTGCTATCACTACTTTACTGTAGAATAGTTCTCTGTTTCACGGTGGAATGATTATCTATTGTGCTATCACTACTTTACTGTAGAATAGTTCTCTGTTTCACGGTGGAATGATTATCTATTGTGCTATCACTACTTTACTGTAGAATAGTTCTCTGTTTCACGGTGGAATGATTATCTATTGTGCTATCACTACTTTACTGTAGAATAGTTCTCTGTTTCACGGTGGAATGATTATCTATTGTGCTATCACTACTTTACTGTAGAATAGTTCTCTGTTTCACGGTGGAATGATTATCTATTGTGCTATCACTACTTTACTGTAGAATAGTTCTCTGTTTCACGGTGGAATGATTATCTATTGTGCTATCACTACTTTACTGTAGAATAGTTCTCTGTTTCACGGTGGAATGATTATCTATTGTGCTATCACTACTTTACTGTAGAATAGTTCTCTGTTTCACGGTGGAATGATTATCTATTGTGCTATCACTACTTTACTGTAGAATAGTTCTCTGTTTCACGGTGGAATGATTATCTATTGTGCTATCACTACTTTACTGTAGAATAGTTCTCTGTTTCACGGTGGAATGATTATCTATTGTGCTATCACTACTTTACTGTAGAATAGTTCTCTGTTTCACGGTGGAATGATTATCTATTGTGCTATCACTACTTTACTGTAGAATAGTTCTCTGTTTCACGGTGGAATGATTATCTATTGTGCTATCACTACTTTACTGTAGAATAGTTCTCTGTTTCACGGTGGAATGATTATCTATTGTGCTATCACTACTTTACTGTAGAATAGTTCTCTGTTTCACGGTGGAATGATTATCTATTGTGCTATCACTACTTTACTGTAGAATAGTTCTCTGTTTCACGGTGGAATGATTATCTATTGTGCTATCACTACTTTACTGTAGAATAGTTCTCTGTTTCACGGTGGAATGATTATCTATTGTGCTATCACTACTTTACTGTAGAATAGTTCTCTGTTTCACGGTGGAATGATTATCTATTGTGCTATCACTACTTTACTGTAGAATAGTTCTCTGTTTCACGGTGGAATGATTATCTATTGTGCTATCACTACTTTACTGTAGAATAGTTCTCTGTTTCACGGTGGAATGATTATCTATTGTGCTATCACTACTTTACTGTAGAATAGTTCTCTGTTTCACGGTGGAATGATTATCTATTGTGCTATCACTACTTTACTGTAGAATAGTTCTCTGTTTCACGGTGGAATGATTATCTATTGTGCTATCACTACTTTACTGTAGAATAGTTCTCTGTTTCACGGTGGAATGATTATCTATTGTGCTATCACTACTTTACTGTAGAATAGTTCTCTGTTTCACGGTGGAATGATTATCTATTGTGCTATCACTACTTTACTGTAGAATAGTTCTCTGTTTCACGGTGGAATGATTATCTATTGTGCTATCACTACTTTACTGTAGAATAGTTCTCTGTTTCACGGTGGAATGATTATCTATTGTGCTATCACTACTTTACTGTAGAATAGTTCTCTGTTTCACGGTGGAATGATTATCTATTGTGCTATCACTACTTTACTGTAGAATAGTTCTCTGTTTCACGGTGGAATGATTATCTATTGTGCTATCACTACTTTACTGTAGAATAGTTCTCTGTTTCACGGTGGAATGATTATCTATTGTGCTATCACTACTTTACTGTAGAATAGTTCTCTGTTTCACGGTGGAATGATTATCTATTGTGCTATCACTACTTTACTGTAGAATAGTTCTCTGTTTCACGGTGGAATGATTATCTATTGTGCTATCACTACTTTACTGTAGAATAGTTCTCTGTTTCACGGTGGAATGATTATCTATTGTGCTATCACTACTTTACTGTAGAATAGTTCTCTGTTTCACGGTGGAATGATTATCTATTGTGCTATCACTACTTTACTGTAGAATAGTTCTCTGTTTCACGGTGGAATGATTATCTATTGTGCTATCACTACTTTACTGTAGAATAGTTCTCTGTTTCACGGTGGAATGATTATCTATTGTGCTATCACTACTTTACTGTAGAATAGTTCTCTGTTTCACGGTGGAATGATTATCTATTGTGCTATCACTACTTTACTGTAGAATAGTTCTCTGTTTCACGGTGGAATGATTATCTATTGTGCTATCACTACTTTACTGTAGAATAGTTCTCTGTTTCACGGTGGAATGATTATCTATTGTGCTATCACTACTTTACTGTAGAATAGTTCTCTGTTTCACGGTGGAATGATTATCTATTGTGCTATCACTACTTTACTGTAGAATAGTTCTCTGTTTCACGGTGGAATGATTATCTATTGTGCTATCACTACTTTACTGTAGAATAGTTCTCTGTTTCACGGTGGAATGATTATCTATTGTGCTATCACTACTTTACTGTAGAATAGTTCTCTGTTTCACGGTGGAATGATTATCTATTGTGCTATCACTACTTTACTGTAGAATAGTTCTCTGTTTCACGGTGGAATGATTATCTATTGTGCTATCACTACTTTACTGTAGAATAGTTCTCTGTTTCACGGTGGAATGATTATCTATTGTGCTATCACTACTTTACTGTAGAATAGTTCTCTGTTTCACTCTGGAATGATTCTCTATTGTGCTATCACTAGTATTACTTTACTGTAGAATAGTTCTCTGTTTCATGGTGGAATGATTCTCTATTGTGCTATCACTAGTATTACTTTACTGTAGAATAGATCTCTGTTTCACGGTGGAATGATTATCTATTGTGCTATCACTACTTTACTGTAGAATAGTTCTCTGTTTCACGGTGGAATGATTATCTATTGTGCTATCACTACTTTACTGTAGAATAGTTCTCTGTTTCACGGTGGAATGATTATCTATTGTGCTATCACTACTTTACTGTAGAATAGTTCTCTGTTTCACGGTGGAATGATTATCTATTGTGCTATCACTACTTTACTGTAGAATAGTTCTCTGTTTCACGGTGGAATGATTATCTATTGTGCTATCACTACTTTACTGTAGAATAGTTCTCTGTTTCACGGTGGAATGATTATCTATTGTGCTATCACTACTTTACTGTAGAATAGTTCTCTGTTTCACGGTGGAATGATTATCTATTGTGCTATCACTACTTTACTGTAGAATAGTTCTCTGTTTCACGGTGGAATGATTATCTATTGTGCTATCACTACTTTACTGTAGAATAGTTCTCTGTTTCACGGTGGAATGATTATCTATTGTGCTATCACTACTTTACTGTAGAATAGTTCTCTGTTTCACGGTGGAATGATTATCTATTGTGCTATCACTACTTTACTGTAGAATAGTTCTCTGTTTCACGGTGGAATGATTATCTATTGTGCTATCACTACTTTACTGTAGAATAGTTCTCTGTTTCACGGTGGAATGATTATCTATTGTGCTATCACTACTTTACTGTAGAATAGTTCTCTGTTTCACGGTGGAATGATTATCTATTGTGCTATCACTACTTTACTGTAGAATAGTTCTCTGTTTCACGGTGGAATGATTATCTATTGTGCTATCACTACTTTACTGTAGAATAGTTCTCTGTTTCACGGTGGAATGATTATCTATTGTGCTATCACTACTTTACTGTAGAATAGTTCTCTGTTTCACGGTGGAATGATTATCTATTGTGCTATCACTACTTTACTGTAGAATAGTTCTCTGTTTCACGGTGGAATGATTATCTATTGTGCTATCACTACTTTACTGTAGAATAGTTCTCTGTTTCACGGTGGAATGATTATCTATTGTGCTATCACTACTTTACTGTAGAATAGTTCTCTGTTTCACGGTGGAATGATTATCTATTGTGCTATCACTACTTTACTGTAGAATAGTTCTCTGTTTCACGGTGGAATGATTATCTATTGTGCTATCACTACTTTACTGTAGAATAGTTCTCTGTTTCACGGTGGAATGATTATCTATTGTGCTATCACTACTTTACTGTAGAATAGTTCTCTGTTTCACGGTGGAATGATTATCTATTGTGCTATCACTACTTTACTGTAGAATAGTTCTCTGTTTCACGGTGGAATGATTATCTATTGTGCTATCACTACTTTACTGTAGAATAGTTCTCTGTTTCACGGTGGAATGATTATCTATTGTGCTATCACTACTTTACTGTAGAATAGTTCTCTGTTTCACGGTGGAATGATTATCTATTGTGCTATCACTACTTTACTGTAGAATAGTTCTCTGTTTCACGGTGGAATGGTGCTATACAAATTGCACATGACTTTACAGGCTATTTATCTTCAAAGTTTCAATAATGAGGTCTGACATCATGTAAATGCTGACACGTCATTATTTTATTATTATGTATCCATTCATAACAAAGTAAAATGTACTTTTGGGTTTTTTCAGAGATCTGTATGTTTGGAAAGTTTTTGAAGAAAACCCTGTGTTATGGGATGTGATAGAGTTATTCTCAGGCAGTAAGTACACTTGTTTCTCTTCGGTCAGGTTTCTTTTACACCTGTTGACCTTGTGACATCTACATTTCTAAGGTCTCCATCAAGGACAGATCTAAGCCTGGCACATCCCACTTGCATTCAAGATTATTTTTTTTTTCATAAATATGTTCACCTGTGACACTTATTAACTTTGGATTGGTTTGAAACATTTCGAAGAGGTTAACTAAGTGTCCTTTAACTGAAGAATATATTACAACATTCTGATCTTGAGTGAGTTAATACAGTAAACTAATTATAGTCAACCAAACTGTTTTTACCTTTGAATATTTTTTTAAATCCATTTAAGCTGCAGTAAAAAAGTTCATTTTCTCTTTTATGTTACAATATATTCATTTTCATTGGTATCAATTACCCTGGTACAAAAAATACAATGAATAACTTCAGTTTTAAATAGTTTTTCGCGAGGAACTATTTATTTGTGTGGTATCACTTGTTTGATCAGTCAAAAGTATCAGAGGTCAAAAGTGACCAATCTAAAAAATGTTAACAGTGATTACACTGCAGAAAACACTCACCTTGGGAACAACTTCTATATTTAATGGATTGTTTATCAGTGAGGAACCTTTCTATGGGATAAATTAAAAGAATCTCAATATTAAAATGTCTGACATGATGTTACCTATGTGTTGTAGACTCCCTTGCCATGTGTCGGTGCTCACCAGTGCTCAAATCTTTAGTGGCTGCCCTAATGAACCACTTTGAGTGTTCACGACTTCCGCATGCCAACGACACACCAAAACAGAACGAGTCTGCCTGTCGTCTCATACACTGTCTCTCCAGAGTAAGAACTCATTCAAAGATCCATGTTTTCTTAGATAATTACATTCTCATTTCATTTATTTTCAAAAAAAAATCTAATTAGAAAATTTACACGGGCCCTTCAGGACCTCTTGTGTCATACAATGGACATACTTGTTTAATATAATTATTTACATACTATTTTTGTGTTATTTCAGAGCTTGCTTCTTCCCGATCCTCTGAAGTATGTGTCAGAGTTATTTGCCCTTGTCACGTCATATGAAGCCTACCTTATATTACTGGCTGTATGGAAGTATATGAAGGTAATCACTCAAGCTGAATATCTTCAGGGACAGACGTTATGGTTAAATGTGTGACTTCTGGATAAGTCTAGTATAAACTTTAAGGATTTTAACTTAACGTAGCAATTTGGTATGATGTATCCCTTGCCAAGGATATTCTTTTTACTTCTTCTTGGTCCATGTGTTGTTACTTTTTACTTCCTCTTGGTCCATGTGTTGTTACTTTTTACTTCCTCTTGGTCCATGTGTTGTTACTTTTTACTTCCTCTCGGTCCATGTGTTGTTACTTTTTACTTCCTCTCGGTCCTTGTATTGTTACTTTCTACTTCCTCTCGGTCCATGTGTTGTTACTTTTTACTTCCTCTCGGTCCATGTGTTGTTACTTTTTACTTCCTCTCGGTCCATGTGTTGTTACTTTTTACTTCCTCTTGGTCCATGTGTTGTTACTTTTCACTTCCTTTTGGTCCTTGTGTTGTTACTTTTTACTTCCTCTCGGTCCATGTGTTGTTACTTTTTACTTCCATGTGTTGTTACTTTTTACTTCCTCTTGGTTCATGTTTTATTACTTTCTACTTCCTCTTGGTCCATGTGTTGTTTCTTTTTACTTCCTCTCAGTCCATGTGTTGTTACCTTTTACTTCCTCTCGGTCCATGTGTTGTTACTTTCTACTTCCTCTTGGTCCATGTGTTGTTGCTTTTTACTTCCTCTCAGTCCATGTGTTGTTGCTTTTTACTTCCTCTCGGTCCATGTGTTGTTACTTTCTACTTCCTCTTGGTCCATGTGTTGTTTCTTTTTACTTCCTCTCGGTCCATGTGTTGTTACTTTCTACTTCCTCTCGGTCCATGTGTTGTTACTTTTTTCTTCCTCTTGGTCCATGTGTTGTTACTTTTTACATGTGTTGTTACTTTCTACTTCCTCTCGGTCCATGTGTTGTTCCTTTTTACTTCCTCTCAGTCCATGTGTTGTTACGTTTTACTTCCTTTCGGTCCATGTGTTGTTACTTTTTACTTCCTCTTGGTCTATTTGTTGTTACTTTTTACTTCCTCTCGGTCCATGTGTTGTTACCATGTGTTGTTACTTTTTACTTCCTCTCGGTCCATGTGTTTCTTTTTACTTCCTCTCGGTCCAAGTGTTGTTACTCTTTACTTCCTCTCGGTCCATGTGTTGTTACTTTTTACCTCCTCTCAGTCTATGTGTTGTACCTTTTTACTTCCTCTTGGTCCATGTGTTGTTACTTTTTACTTACTCTTGGTCCATGTGTTGTTACTTTTTACTTCCACTTAATCCATGTGTTGTTTCTTTTTACTTCCTCTCAGTCCATGTGTTGTTACATTTTACTTCCTCTTGGTCCATGTGTTGTTACTTTTTACTTACTCTTGGTCCATGTGTTGTTACTTTTTACTTCCTTTTGGTCCTTGTGTTGTTACTTTTTACTTCCTCTCGGTCTATGTGTTGTTACTTTTTACTTCCTCTCGGTCCATGTGTTTCTTTTTACTTCCTCTCGGTCCAAGTGTTGTTACTCTTTACTTCCTCTCGGTCCATGTGTTGTTACTTTTTGCTTCCTCTCCGTCCATGTGTTGTTACTTTTTCCTTCCTCTCAGTCCATGTGTTGTTACGTTTTACTTCCTTTCGGTCCATGTGTTGTTACTTTTTACTTCCTCTCAGTCCATGAGTTGTTACTTTTTACTTCCTCTTGGTCCATGTTTTATTACTTTCTACTTCCTCTTGGTCCATGTGTTGTTCCTTTTTACTTCCTCTCAGTCCATGTGTTGTTACATTTTACTTCCTCTTGGTCCATGTGTTGTTACTTTTTACTTACTCTTGGTCCATGTGTTGTTACTTTTTACTTCCTTTTGGTCCTTGTGTTGTTACTTTTTACTTCCTCTCGGTCTATGTGTTGTTACTTTTTACTTCCTCTCGGTCCAAGTGTTGTTACTCTTTACTTCCTCTCGGTCCATGTGTTGTTACTTTCTACTTCCTCTTGGTCCATGTGTTGTTACTTTTTACTTACTCTTGGTCCATGTGTTGTTACTTTTTACTTCCTCTAAGTCCATGTGTTGTTACTTTTTACTTCCTCTCAGGCCATGTGTTGTTACTTTTTACTTCCTCTCAGTCCATGTGTTGTTACGTTTTACTTCCTTTCGGTCCATGTGTTGTTACTTTTTACTTCCTCTTGGTTCATGTTTTATTACTTTCTACTTCCTCTTGGTCCATGTGTTGTTCCTTTTTACTTCCTCTCAGTCCATGTGTTGTTACTTTTTACTTCCTCTTGGTCCATGTTTTATTACTTTCTACTTCCTCTTGGTCCATGTGTTGTTACTTTTTACTTCCTCTCAGTCCATGTGTTGTTACTCTTCACTTCCTCTCGGTCCATGTGTTGTTACTTTCTACTTCCTCTTGGTCCATGTGTTGTTACTTTTTACTTCCTCTTGGTCCATGTGTTGTTACTTTTTACTTCCTCTCGGTCCATGTGTTGTTCCTTTTTGTTTTGGATTTGAGATTCTTTAATTGCATTGTCTTCATCTTTTTTTCTAACCTGGAAACAAATCTGATTTATCATAGTCATAAAAGGCTATTGAGGTCAAATTGTCTGCTATCATTACCAGAGCATTGCTTTGTTTCATAATTGAAGGTCATGCCTATACAAAGTGTTAAAGTTCAGTATGGACTTCAGATATTTCTTTGTAACAGATTTTTCTTTGTAACAGAAATTCCTACAAGAGGTCAAATTAACAGATGAATGCTACAAAGTGCCATGACATTTTATTTTGGGAACTACATGTAAATTGTTGTGAATGTCAGTAACATAGAGCTTTTATGTGACCATTACAGGAAAATCCTCCCACAGAGGACCCAGAGGAAGCTAAGCGACGAGGTAGGTACCCAGGAATGACACTAGATCACCATATGTACACACGGGCAGTACTGCCTACTGGTAGGGGTGTAACGATATACCGGTATACCGGTATATTGTGATACAGCTGAGAAACGATATGTATTGCAATACGATTTTCCATATACCGGTATTTTCGATATTTATTCTCCATGAATTATTTTGAAATTTTTCATTCACATTACGATCAAATTACAATAAAACCAGCTAAGTAGTCGTAGGCGCTTTCTCGACGTTTTTGTTTTTTGTCCCGGAAGCGGTAGTGTGTTTACAGTAAACACGCATGTGCGAGCGAAAACGAAAGTAGTCGCGGGAAAGATGGCGGAGGAAAAGGACGAAAGCTTCAGCATCATTCCTAATAAGAAGGCTAAGTCCGATATATGGCAACACTTTGGCTTGAAGCAATACAAGGAAAAAACAAGCGTTGAACCGGGCGTCGCCGTGTGTAAAAAATGTAGAACAGAGGTGAAGTACAGTGGCGGAACAACCAATCTGGGCGTGCATTTGGACCGCCATCACAAAATGACAGTCATTGGAAAAAGTGCAAAAAAATCATTCGAGTCGTCGATTGGTACTGCTTGTACTAGTGGTGGTAAGCAGAAAACTTTATTTGAACTCTCGCAATCTAAGTATAGTAGAACGTCTGAGAAGTACAAGCAAATTACTGCTGCCATTGGAAAGTTCATTGTTAAAGACTTGCGTCCCTTTTCCATCGTATCTAACGAAGGATTTTTGGAATTGATGAAAGTGCTTGATCCTCGTTATGATGTACCCTCGCGTATTCATTTCTCAACAGTTATTATTCCTGACTTTTATGAAGAAGTAAGGTCAAATGTTTTGAAAAGTATGTCAAAATCTGAAACTGTTGCTTTGACAACAGATGGATGGACCAGTAGAGCGACAGAATCTTATGTAACAGTCACATCAAGTTTTATCACCAAGGATTGGAAATTACAAAACTTTGTTTTACAAACCCGTGCTCTACCGGAAAGCCACACAGGTATTAATATCGCTAATGTTCTAACAACCGCTATCAATGAATGGAATATTCCTAAAAAACCCTATGTGCCACTGGTAACGGACAATGCCGCAAACATGTTGGTGGCAGCTAGGGAGGCTGACTGTAAACCACACATTGGTTGCTATGCTCACACTTTGAACCTCGCAGCACAAAAAGCCCTGAAAATAAACTCTGTTTCTAGGATTCTTGGACGTGTGAGGAGAGTCGTTTCATTTTTCCACCGAAGCACTACAGCAGCTGCTGTATTGAAGTCTAAAACTAAACTACTTTGCCTGAAAGAAATGAAACTGGTACAAGACGTCAGTACTAGATGGAATTCTGCTGTAGACATGCTGGAAAGATACCTGCTCCTGCAACCAGCAATATTTGCTGCTTTGATGTGTAAAGATATTAAAAGAAATCAACATGAGGTTTCTACACTGAGCTGTGATGACCTGAGATTAGCAGAGGAAATCATGGAATGTTTACGCCCTTTGAGAGAAATTACACAAGTCCTGTGTTCTGAAAAACTCCCTACTGTGTCTATTATTTTGCCATTACAAAAGAAATTGTTGACCCAAGTACTTGTTGAGAGAGAATCAGACTCCAACATAATTAAACAGATGAAGAATGCCATGTCTTCTGATTTATCAGAAAGGTAAATTAATTTTTTTTAATATTTCTATTGACTATTATATTTGTAATATAAGCCATGAAAATTTCAATTAAAAACAATTTTACAAACACAAACATTGCATTGATAGTTTATTAATCTTAAATTTATGGTATTGAACAGTAAATAAAATGAATTGCTATTTAAAATAGTACATGTCAGATTTCATTTTTTTTTAAATTTTTATTTCATTTCACTCTTTCAATCTAAAATTATAAACAATTGTCAATTTTCAATAAAGGTTTTCATTTTTCAATTCCAACTTCCACTGTTGTGTTTCAGGTATACTCCCATTACTGATTTTCTTGAGGAATGCTCAGCTGTAGACCCAAGAATTAAAGTGTCTTTCAGGCCTGCAGATGAGCAGTTCATGGTTTACAACAGGTTGTCACTGATTGCAGGAAGTGCTACTCCCATCAAAGTCAAAACAGAACCAGGACTTGAACAAGTTGGATCGGTTCAGCCAGGCCCAGTATTACCAAATTTACCACAACTACAAGAAGACACACAGAGTAAATAATTTTAAAATACAAAATGGATAAATTCACCAATCAATACATGAAGCTATAATTTTGTTACAAAATATATTTATCAAAAATTAAAAATAAAATAAGTTAAATAACACAAACAAATCATTTTATCTTGTAAAAAACATAAAATGTGACATTTCTCAATTTTGACTTAATTTTAATTTCAGGTCAAGATGAGTCAACTGCTGCAGCTGAAATGGATACTTCTGGCCCTCCTGGACTCTCCTCCATTTTGAGTGATGTCATATTTGTCAAACATGAGGAAGGTGTATTTAAATCCCAGTTGGAGAAAGCTTCAGATGAAGTTGCATGTTACAAAGAAATGGAACTTCTTCCCATGGATCAGGACCCATTGAATTGGTGGAAAATGCATGAATTACAATTCCCCCTTCTATCATTAATTGCAAAGTGTAGATTATGCATCCCAGCTACATCAGTCCCATCTGAAAGAATCTTTTCAACTGCAGGGGATATTGTTACTGCCCAAAGGTCACAGCTGAGTCCTGATGTTGTGGACAAGTTGATATTCTTGAAAAAGAATATGTAAACCACTGATCAATGTAAACTTCCAGTAACTTACTAACTTTCAAGCAATAAATGCATATAAATTAAACAGGATTGTTTGTTGTTGTAAATGAGTACTAGGTCAACACAATATTACACTTATTTCAGGTACTTACCTTTTCGTTTTGACAGTTTCTGCTATTTCTGTGTATCGCAATACGTATCGCAATATGACTCTCCAATATCGCAATATATCGCAATATGGGTTTTGCTGTATCGTTACACCCCTACTAACTGGCGATAAATATATATAAATACTTGGGGTATATAGGTACCAGGGACAGTACTGGGGGTGAATGGGTACAGGGGGTATTTAGGTACATGGGCAGTATTGCAAAGGCCCTATAACCACGGATAATAATTTGTGAACCTCTTTGAGACGACCTACAAACTAGGTTGTGATAAAGCGGTATATAAGAACCTCCAATTATTATTATTATTGGGGGTATTTAGATACATGGGCACTAGTACTGGAGGTATTTAGGTACATGGGCATTACTGGGGGTATATAGGTACATGGGCAGTACTGGGGGTATTTAGGTACATGGGCAGTACTGGAGGTATTTAGGTACATGGGCATTACTGGGGGTATATAGGTACATGGGCAGTACTGGGGGTATTTAGATACATGGGCAGTACTGGAGGTATTTAGGTACATGGGCATTACTGGGGGTATATAGGTACATGGGCAGTACTGGGGGTATTTAGATACATGGGCAGTACTGGAGGTATTTAGGTACATGGGCATTACTGGGGGTATATAGGTACATGGGCAGTACTGGGGGTATTTAGATACATGGGCAGTACTGGAGGTATTTAGGTACATGGGCATTACTGGGGGTATATAGGTACATGGGCAGTACTGGGGGTATTTAGATACATGGGCAGTACTGGGGGTATCTAGGTACATGGGCAGTACTGGGGGTATTTAGGTACATGGGCATTATTGGGGGTATATAGGTACATGGGCAGTACTGGGGGTATTTAGGTACATGGGCACTACTGGGGGTATTTAGGTACATGGGCATTACTGGGGGTATATAGGTACATGGGCAGTACTGGGGGTATTTAGATACATGGGCAGTACTGGGGGTATCTAGGTACATGGGCAGTACTGGGGGTATTTAGGTACATGGGCATTATTGGGGGTATATAGGTACATGGGCAGTACTGGGGGTATCTAGATACATGGGCACTAGTACTGGAGGTATTTAGATACATGGGCATTACTGGGGGTATATAGGTACATGGGCAGTACTGGGGGTATTTAGATACATGGGCAGTACTGGGGGTATCTAGGTACATGGGCAGTACTGGGGGTATTTAGGTACATGGGCATTATTGGGGGTATATAGGTACATGGGCATGACTGGGGGTATTTAGGTACATGGGCATTACTGGAGATATACAGGTACATGGGCAGTACTGGGTAGTGATACATGTCATGTAGTGATACACACGTCATGTAGTGATACATACATCATGTAGTGATGCACATGTCATGTAGTGATACACACGTCATGTAGTGATACATGTCATGTAGTGATACATGTCATGTAGTGATACAGCCACTTCATGTAGTGATACACACATCATGTAGTGATACACACATCATGTAGTGATACACACGTCATGTACATGGGCAGTACTGTGGGTATTTAGGTACATGGGCATTACTGGGGGTATACAGGTACATGGGCATTACTTGAGGTATTTAGATACATGGTCATTACTGGAGGTATTTGGTACATGGGCATTACTGGAGGAATATAGGTACATGGGCATTGCTGGGGGTATATAGGTAAATGGGCATTACTGGGGGTATACAGGAACATGGGCATTACTGGAGGGATTTAGATACATGGGCACTAGTACTGGAGGTATTTAGGTCCATGGCATTACTGGAGGGATTTAGATACATGGGCACTAGTACTGGAGGTATTTAGGTCCATGGCATTACTGGAGGTATTTAAGTACATGGGCAGTACTGGGGGAATTTAGGTGCATGGGCATTACTGGTGGTATTTGGTACATGGGCATTTCTGGAGGTATTTAGGTACATGGGATTACTGGAGGGATTTAGGTACATGGCATTACTGGAGGTATTTAGGTACATGGCATTACTGGGGGTATATAGGTACATGGGCATTACTGGGGGTATACAGGTACATGGGCATTACTGGAGGTATATAGGTACATGGGCATTACTGGAGGTATTTAGGTACATGGGCAGTACTGGGGGTATTTAGGTGCATGGGCATTACTGGAGGTATTTAGATACATGGGCATTACTGGGGGTATTTAGATACATGGGCATTACTGGAGGTATTTAGATACATGGGCATTACTGGAGGTATTTAGGTACATGGCATTACTGGAGGTATTTAGGTACATGGGCATTACTGGGGGTATTTAGGTACATAGCATTGCTGGAGGTATTTAGGTACATGGCATTACTGGGTATTTAGGTACATGGGCAGTACTGGGGGTATTTAGGTACTTGGGCATTACTGGAGGTATATAGGTACATGGCATTACTGGAGGTTTTTAGGTACATGGGCATTACTGGGGGTATTTAGGTACATGGGCATTACTGGGGGTATATAGGTAAATGGGCATTACTGGAGGTATTTAGGTACATGTGCATTACTGGGGGTATTTAGGTACATGGCATTACTGGAGGGATTTAGGTACATGGCATTACTGGAGGTATTTAGGTACATGGGCAGTACTGGGGGTATTTAGGTACTTGGGCATTACTGGAGGTATTTAGGTACATGGGCATTACTGGGGGTATATATGTACATGGGCATTACTGGGGGTATTTAGGTACATGGGCATTACTGGGGGTATACAGGTACATGGGCAGTACTGGGGGTATTTAGGTACATGGGCATTACTTGGGGTATTTAGGTACATGGGCAGTACTGGGGTTGATAAGGTACATGGGCGATAGTGGGGGTATATAGGTGTGTTAGACATTATTCAGCTACTTACAGTGGTGTGCGTTAGATATTGTTGGTTTGGAAACATAGATTATCCAGGTATATATTTTGTTTACATACTTCATGTTTGTTTTAGTATACTTAACACTCTATAAAAGTTTTGCTTGTCATTTCAGTTTGTGAAACCCGCCATACAGATGTAGTGAGAGCTATCCTCCACAGTAATATAGACAAAATGGGCCACCTCTTCTTCAGGTTCTTTAAGGAATAATAATTGGAGAAAGCACTTTAAAATAGGCCGGATGTTGTCATAATAACAAGGAGTGATAAACGGTGTACTTTTATATAGGCCGGACATTTCCATAACAACAAGGAATGATATGCAGAGGAAGGACGTTTATATAGGCCGGACATTTCCATAACAACAAGGAACGATATGCGGAGAAAGGACGTTTATATAGGCCGGACATTTCCATAGCAACAAGGAACGATATGCGGAGGAAGGACGTTTATATAGGCCGGACATTTCCATAGCAACAAGGAAGAAAGTATAAACAGTGTGACCACTGATGATACAGCAGTCTATATAGAGTACATGGTACCGTGGAAGAAGGATGTGACCTGACATTGTAGACAATATCATATTTATTTAATAAAGATACATAATATTCATATAATTGTATGACTTTCTTATTAATTTTAATTTGGGTGTTATTATCAAACACCAGTCATGTAGTGATACACACGTCATGTAGTGATACATCCGTCATGTAGTGATACATATGTCATGTAGTGATACATCCGTCATGTAGTGATACACCATTATTGTAGATGAGGGTGCTACATTGATCCTGACATTATTGTAGATGATAGTGCTACATTGATCCTGACATTATTGTAGATGATATTGCTACATTGATCCTGACATTATTGTAGATGATAGTGCTACATTGATCCTGACATTATTGTAGATGATAGTGCTACATTGATCCTGACATTATTGTAGATGATAGTGCTACATTGATCCTGACATTATTGTAGATGATAGTGCTACATTGATCCTGACATTATTGTAGATGATAGTGCTACATTGATCCTGACATTATTGTAGATGATAGTGCTACATTGATCCTGACATTATTGTAGATGATAGTGCTACATTGATCCTGACATTATTGTAGATGATAGTGCTACATTGATCCTGACATTATTGTAGATGATAGTGCTACATTGATCCTGACATTATTGTAGATGATAGTGCTACATTGATCCTGACATTATTGTAGATGATAGTGCTACATTGATCCTGACATTATTGTAGATGATAGTGCTACATTGATCCTGACATTATTGTAGATGATAGTGCTACATTGATCCTGACATTATTGTAGATGATAGTGCTACATTGATCCTGACATTATTGTAGATGATAGTGCTACATTGATCCTGACATTATTGTAGATGATAGTGCTACATTGATCCTGACATTATTGTAGATGATAGTGCTACATTGATCCTGACATTATTGTAGATGATAGTGCTACATTGATCCTGACATTATTGTAGATGATAGTGCTACATTGATCCTGACATTATTGTAGATGATAGTGCTACATTGATCCTGACATTATTGTAGATGATAGTGCTACATTGATCCTGACATTATTGTAGATGATAGTGCTACATTGATCCTGACATTATTGTAGATGATAGTGCTACATTGATCCTGACATTATTGTAGATGATAGTGCTACATTGATCCTGACATTATTGTAGATGATAGTGCTACATTGATCCTGACATTATTGTAGATGATAGTGCTACATTGATCCTGACATTATTGTAGATGATAGTGCTACATTGATCCTGACATTATTGTAGATGATAGTGCTACATTGATCCTGACATTATTGTAGATGATAGTGCTACATTGATCCTGACATTATTGTAGATGATAGTGCTACATTGATCCTGACATTATTGTAGATGATAGTGCTACATTGATCCTGACATTATTGTAGATGATAGTGCTACATTGATCCTGACATTATTGTAGATGATAGTGCTACATTGATCCTGACATTATTGTAGATGATAGTGCTACATTGATCCTGACATTATTGTAGATGATAGTGCTACATTGATCCTGACATTATTGTAGATGATAGTGCTACATTGATCCTGACATTATTGTAGATGATAGTGCTACATTGATCCTGACATTATTGTAGATGATAGTGCTACATTGATCCTGACATTATTGTAGATGATAGTGCTACATTGATCCTGACATTATTGTAGATGATAGTGCTACATTGATCCTGACATTATTGTAGATGATAGTGCTACATTGATCCTGACATTATTGTAGATGATAGTGCTACATTGATCCTGACATTATTGTAGATGATAGTGCTACATTGATCCTGACATTATTGTAGATGATAGTGCTACATTGATCCTGACATTATTAAAGATGATAGTGCTACATTGATCATGACATTATTGTAGATGAGGGTGCTACATTGATCCTGACATAATTGTAGATGATAGTGCTCCATTGATCCTGCCATTATTGTAGATGAGAGTGCTACATTGATCTTGACATTATTGTAGAGGATATTGCTACATTGTTGCCAAAAATAGTGCTACATTGAACCTGACATTATTGTGGATGATAGTGCTACATTGTTCATGACATTAGTGTAGATGATAGTGCTAAATTGATCCTGACATTAGTGTAGATGATAGTGCTACATTGATCCTGACATTATTGTAGATGAGGGTGCTACATTGATCCCGACATTATTGTAGATGATATTGCTACATTGTTGCCAAAAAAAAAGACATCAAAAAATATGTCAGATATGTTTAATATATACACAACAGCTTCCCTGTCAGCTCAAGCAAGTTCCATAATAGTTAAATCACACTGTATACAGCAAGGAAAAAAGATTACCACAGAAATACAAAATATTGCTCAAATTGAGATTTGTGGCCCTTCGTCTAGGTATTAATGATGTTCCATGATCATCTTATATATTTGTGTATAAATACATGTAATACATATGTATGGGCAAGCTGATTAAATCCAGATCTGTAATTCCACTCAGATACTCTATGCTTGAACCAGATCTGTAATTCCACTCAGATACTCTACACTTGAACCAGATCTGTAATACCACTCAGATACTCTACACTTGAACCAGATCTGTTATTCCACTCAGATACTCTACGCTTGAACCAGATCTGTAATTCCACTCAGATACTCCACGCTTGAACATTGACCACGCAATGAAAGTCAGGCCAGACAAAATATCTTGACCAATCAAAAGTGTGGTATTAAACGGCGTTTGTTATTGTGTCCAACTTTGACTGTAACGTAAAGTTTTGGAATTTAAGATCTGGTTTTAATTAGATTGATGAGGAATTTAGCTTTAACAGCAGTAACTGAAAATCAGTCAACAAAAGTTGGTCATTAAACATAGATCTCCAACGCCGCTGGTGTCAAATATCAAACTATAACTACATTTTGACATTTAGAATGAGAACTGTTATTTCATCTTTACTATTAAATTTCACATCTAGCAACATATCAAACTCTCAGTGTATTTCATAACAAAAATGTATTTATAGATTAATTGGATTGCTATCAATGAAAGAGGCTTACCGGTATTGAATCTCCATCAAGAGGTCCAATGAAACTGCATTAGAAGGTCGAACTAGACTGAGGAAATGTGAATGAACTCACAAAGATATATACCCGCTTCATTTTATCTAAGTATTCAAACTTTGTATTTTAAATATTAAACTCATGTTGAATTTGACCTCTTCAAGAATTAACACACTTATGAGCTCAAATATTCCTAGCACACAAAAAGATACAGTTTGAGACTGATTCAACACTGGAATGCTGGAGTTCATCCTCAGTAAACATATTTATGAAAATACATGTATTTTTACGTTTACGATACGTATATGTCTGTATGAATGTTATATAATATATGTCTGTATGAATGTATACAGTATATGTCTGTATGAATGTTATACAATAGATGTCTGTATGAATGTTATATAATATATGTCTGTATGAATGTTATACAATATATGTCTGTATGAATGTAATACAATGTATGTCTGTATGAATGTTATACAATGTATGTCTGTAAGAATGTTATACAATATATGTCTGTATGAATGTTATACAATATATGTCTGTATGAATGTAATACAATGTATGTCTGTATGAATGTTATACAGTATATGTCTGTATGAATGTTATACAATATATGTCTGCATGAATGTTATATAATATATGTCTGTATGAATGTTATATAATATATGTCTGTATGAATGTAATACAATGTATGTCTGTATGAATGTTATACAATATATGTCTGTATGAATGTTATACAATGTATGTCTGTATGAATGTAATACAATGTATGTTTGTGTGAATGTAATACAATGTATGTCTGTATGAATGTAATACAATGTATGTCTGTATGAATGTTATACAATGTATGTATGTAGGAATGTAATAGAATGTATGTCTGTATGAATGTTATACAATATGTCTGTATGAATGTAATACAATGTATGTCTGTATGAAGGTTATACAATGTATGTCTGTATGAATGTAATACAATGTATGTTTGTATGAATGTAATACAATGTATGTCTGTATGAATGTAATACAATGTATGTTTGTATGAATGTAATACAATGTATGTTTGTATGAATGTAATACAATGTATGTTTGTGTGAATGTAATACAATGTATGTCTGTATGAATGTTATACAATGTATGTCTGTATGAATGTAAAACAATGTATGTCTGTATGAATGTTATACAATATATGTCTGTATGAATGTTATATAATATATGTCTGTATGAATGTATACAGTATATGTCTGTATGAATGTTATACAATGTATGTATGTAGGAATGAAATAGAATGTATGTCTGTATGAATGTTATACAATGTATGTCTGTATGAATGTAATACGATGTATGTCTGTATGAATGTTATACAATATGTCTGTATGAATGTAATACAATGTATGTCTGTATGAAGGTTATACAATGTATGTCTGTATGAATGTAATACATTGAATGTCTGTATGAATGTAATACATTGTATGTCTGTATGAATGTAATACAATGTGTATGTCTATGAATGTAATACAATGTATATGTTCATATGATAGTCATATATTTCCTATGGATGTTTAATAGAAATACATGTACAATGTTTATGTTAACAAATCATACAAAATATCAATTATTTAAAACATGGTGTAAACAAATAAAACACTTAATGGCTGGAATTCTAAGACTCTGTGTACACAAAAACCTCGATATAATGTTTGTTTCATCTGCCAAATCACTTAAGGTCCTAGTACCACTGCCAAAAGCATTTGATAGGTCACCCGTCAGTTAGGGTCAGATTTAGAGGACTATATATCTGATAGGTCACCTGTCAGTCAGGGTCAGATTTAGAGGACTATATATCTGATAGGTCAACTGTCAGTTAGGGTCAGATTTAGAGGACTATATCTGATAGATCACATGTCAGTTAGGGTCAGAATTAGAGGACTATATATCTGATAGGTCACCTGTCAGTTAGGGTCAGATTTAGAGGATTATATATCTGATAGGTCACTTGTTAGTTAGGGTCAGATTTAAAGGACTATATCTGATAGATCACCTGTCAATTAGGGTCAGATTTAGAGGACTATATATCTGATAGGTCACTTGTTAGTTAGGGTCAGATTTAAAGGACTATATCTGATAGATCACCTGTCAATTAGGGTCAGATGTAGGGGGACTATATATCTGATAGATCACCTGTCAATCAGGGTCAGATTTAGAGGACTATATATCTGATAGATCACCTGTCAATTAGGGTAAGATTTAGAGGACTATATATCTGACAGGTCACCTGTCAATTAGGGTCAGATTTAGAGAACTATATATCTGATAGGTCACCTGTCAATTAGGGTCAGATTTAGAGGACTATATATCTGATAGGTCACCTGTCAGTTAGGGTCAGATTTAGAGGACTATATATCTGATAGGTCACCTGTCAGTTAGGGTCAGATTTAGAGGACTATGTATCTGATAGGTCACCTGTCAGTTAGGGTCAGATTTAGAGGACTATATATCTGATAGGTCACCTGTCAGTTAGGGTCAGATTTAAAGGACTATATATCTGATAGGTCACCTGTCAATTAGGGTCAGATTTAGAGGACTATATATCTGATAGGTCACCTGTCAGTTAGGGTCAGATTTAGAGGACTATATCTGATAGATCACCTGTCAATTAGGGTGAGATTTACTATACAATGTTACCAAAACAATGACAGTCGGTATGTAATGATCAAATTCATTTACCTCCCCATACCTACTAAAATTGTTTGATAAACCACCTGATAAATATTGGTCAATCATCAAGCAATTAAAATATAAATATATTTCCATGATCAAGATGAGTTATTTACAACAAGTAAAAAATTAGTTCTCTCCATATAAATATTGTCCATGATCAAGAATATCAACATCAAGTAAGTTAAAAACAAGTTAATTTCTACAGTCAAACCTTTCTTTATCAAAGTCAAAAGGATCAGTTTGGTAGAAGTTCAGTTCATGTTTTACTTTGATCACTCTGTTTTCAAAACATCTTTATTTCAATTTACATATTAACAACAATGGTATCAACAAAGACGAGGGAAGGTAATATAAATATGACACGGACTAAGAAACCACCGAGATCTTCAGTGTTTTTAGGTTTTGATCTAGTAATGTATCTGTTTCTCTGAATTAAGGACATGATAGCAAGTGACGTATCAAGTGCTGAGTATAAAACTGTTCAACTAGTATCATTTCTGGTTCTCGGGATAACAAAATAACCATAATTTCCATAACTAATGCTCAGGGCACTTGTTAGGATGATGAAATGATATGATAGAAGAGGTTTTATACCTTGAACTGTTATCAGTATAAGGACATGTAAAAACAATCCAGTGTGGTGGAAGCTTTGAAGTGCAGCCATGATCACCAGACATAACTCTGTATAAATACAACTTAATCATTGGGCCTGGTCAGGTCTGGGAGGGGGTCTATATAGTATCAATTCCTCCCAAAAAAGGAGTCGGACGCTTATAGGGGGAGGAACACTGCCTAATTACAGAAATACTGTACAAATGTTATTACAACCATAACCAACACTTCCCTAATTAATGAAACAGTCAAAAAACTATTGTCAATTTAAATAAAATATCAAAAAATCAGAAAATTAAAACAAATAGGGCAAAATGCCTTCAATTGTAATCGAGGAGTAGTGCTTTTAAAGATTACCCCTCATTTCCTCTTATGGGCACTCCCCTTTCCATGCCAACAGTCCAAATTCTTTCAGATGTTCATAAGTAACAGTATTTGAAAGGCAAGGTTGATGAGAGCCGCTGCACCATGGCATAAGCTTACTGAGCCCTTTGGTTCAGGTAAGGTAACTGTAGGGGTTTATAATAGAGAGTTAACTTAACGCGACCCAGTTGGGAGGGTACTTCATGTTGTCGGAGTGGGTGCTGCCAGTACTGACTGGGCTGTCCTGGTAGTAGACCACCTTCCCACGAGCCAACCAAGCCCCCCACCAGGCCAAGGACTCATTTAGCACAATAGAGTGATCAACGCCCGCCAGCAGCCCAAGCACAACCTCCTCCCGAGTCTCCACTAAAACCGATACATCCTTTAGACGTACAAATTCATAATTCATCCATATTGTTTTCGCTCCTTGCTTTATCACACAAATGAAAATCACACTGGTATAATGATCCCTGTATAGCTGCATTGCTTTCTGTAGGAAGTTCTCCACACTGGCTTTATCAAATATCTCTACAGGATGCCCTAGATAAATGCCAACTACAGTGGAGTTCTTACCCGAATGTTTTAGTCTTACTTTATCCAGTTCTTGGTGAACTTTAGACGTGATCCACTTTTTAGGGTGGAAACTGGAACGAACTTCATCAACTTGGCTTTCAAAATACTTTGAGCTTTTGTAGTTGCCTTCAAAGTTAATGTCCACATTTAATAGAGATGGATCAAAATCATACTTAGTCTCTTGCTGAGTTCTCTTGGTAAAACAGTCACAGTATTGTAGAATAAATTCATTTTGTGGAACAATATCAAATGCTGGAGTGAGTATATTATCAGCAGGAAGAATAATTTCTGCACTGTAGCGTATGCGCAGTGTCAGCAGGAAAGCATACTGAAACATTTGGTCTCCAAGGTTACCACTGTACTTGATGCAGAAGAAGTGAGGACGAGGGCGGAAGAAGACTGTACCTTGAAGATTGAAGATCGTACAGTCGGACATGGTGTCCCGAAGCTGTAGGGTAAGCAACATAAACAGGAACAGGAGAAGGTAGCCTGTCATCTGGTACACACCTGTTAAACAATAACACAACTGTATCACACCGACATATTTCAGAACTGTATCTCCATGTCTGGTAATTAAACACTTCTACACATCGAAGGTAAACTATAGACCTTTACATAATACAAAATCAGTGCCTAAAAGTGGGAGGGGGCCAATATGAAATGTTTTGCATCTGTAGGTATTTTAATCCATAGTTAAAATCTACCATATTTCAGGGGAGATAATCCAATGTAGTACATATCTTTTTACACATTATGACATTGAAACTTAAGTTTTACACATATTTTGCTACTTTGAAAGGAGTGTTTGATTAATATTTGGAGAACTGAATAGATTTATTGATTTGTTTGAATAGAAATTATGTTATGATTGCTTTTTTATATTTCACTAAATAAATACATGTATAAATATTTTGTGTTTATTGTTATTATATAGCAGGCTATCAATGCTGACTAATCACAATGACCTGTGGAAATCTAGAAATATGCCAAAACATCTCTTTTGTTTTGCTGTTTTTACCCAAAATCAAACCAAAACAATACACAAAATTTTCCAAAGAAGAAGTGGTTAAAATTTAAGGACAATTTGTCAATGGAAAGTTGAAGTCTGACCGAGACTTTTCCTCAGTCCTGGATCTACTACCTAATACATGTACTACACAGTGTAAATAAAGCCAAATGTTACCTCTCACTCGGAAACAGCTTCTAACACGTAACCTCATTTTGTTCACTAGACAGGTCTCAATCAAGAAGATTTGGGATTCTGAAAGAAATGTATATTAAGAAATCTATTAAATATTTTGATACATTTACAACCTAAGTACTGAAATGTGAAGTGAAACAAACTTGTAAAATATATTATTATTGTTATTATACACAAAATTAGTGTGCTTCAAATAAAGTTACATAAGCTCTCGCTGCCAGATATTACTGGCCTCGGGGGCCAAGTGGTTAAGGTGTCTGACATACTGCTACCACTAGCCCTCCACCACTGGGTCGCGGGTTCGAGGCCTACGTGGGGCAGTCACCAGGTACTGGTCGTAGGTTGGTGTTTTTTCTCCGGGAACTCCGGCTTTCCTCCGCCACCAAAACCTGGCACATCCTTAAATGACCATAGCTGTTAATAGGACGTAAAACACAAACAAACCAAATCTGGCACATCCTTAAATGACCATAGCTGTTAATAAGACGTAAAACACAAACAAATCAATCCTGGCATGTCCTTAAATGATCATAGCTGTTAATAGGACGTAAAACACAAACAAATCAAACCTGGCATGTCCTTAAATGACCACAGCTGTTAATAGGACGTAAAACACAAACAAATCAATCCTGGCATGTCCTTAAATGACCACAGCTGTTAATAGGATGTAAAACACAAACAAATCAATCCTGGCATGTCCTTAAATGACCACAGCTGTTAATAGGATGTAAAACACAAACAAATCAATCCTGGCATGTCCTTAAATGACCACAGCTGTTAATAGGATGTAAAACACAAACAAATCAATCCTGGCATGTCCTTAAATGACCACAGCTGTTAATAGGATGTAAAACACAAACAAATCAATCCTGGCATGTCCTTAAATGACCACAGCTGTTAATAGGATGTAAAACACAAACAAATCAATCCTGGCATGTCCTTAAATGACCACAGCTGTTAATAGGATGTAAAACACAAACAAATCAATCCTGGCATGTCCTTAAATGACCACAGCTGTTAATAGGATGTAAAACACAAACAAATCAATCCTGGCATGTCCTTAAATGACCACAGCTGTTAATAGGATGTAAAACACAAACAAATCAATCCTGGCATGTCCTTAAATGACCACAGCTGTTAATAGGATGTAAAACACAAACAAATCAATCCTGGCATGTCCTTAAATGACCACAGCTGTTAATAGGACGTAAAACACAAACAAATCAAACCTGGCATGTCCTTAAATGACCACAGCTGTTAATAGGACGTAAAACACAAATAAATCAAACCTGGCATGTCCTTAAATGACCACAGCTGTTAATAGGATGTAAAACACAAACAAATCAAACCGGGCATGTCCTGAAGGTAATAGGATTGTGTCGCCATTTCTCAGTAGAATTTCTTCAAATTTTGTAGTTATATTGCTTTGAAGTAAAGAAAATTTTCAGGATTTTAAATGGAAGTTTATGTAAAAAAGAGTGAATTTTGAAAAAAAAATGAAACACACATTTTTTGGCAAAGTAATGTCAATATAAATGATAGTGACATAGATTAGTATCGCATAAATGTATATCAATTTCATCAATGCTGAAATTGTGTAAAATTAATTATCTATAAACGATTAAAAAATGATAATTGCATGTAAGAGTTATCGTTCTTGAAAAACTTCACAGTAGTGAAATAGGTAGCCGGTTTCCTGAAGTACAGAAAAATGGACACATGTGACTCATTGATTAAACAAGAGGCCCATGGGCCTTAACGGTCACCTGATATATTAATACAGAGAGTTGATTTTGTTTTTAACATGAACAGAAATATTATTCAAAGTGACAAAAAACAATAAAACCACCTTACTCAATATCTAGCATACAGATTTCAGACTGAAAAGGATTTGAAACTAGCACCTCTGATTCTTAACAAGGAAAATGAAGAAATTTTAGCACACTGACTCCTTTGAGCCCCACCCTACAGCCCTTGGGGGTAGGGCTGGCTCAAAATTTTCAAAGTATCAAACTGTCAATTCAAGGTTATAATTCCAATCAAGTTATTAACATGTAATATT